CAATATGCATTAAAAAAAAAAAGTTGTCGCCAAGGAGCCAGAGAAGCCTCTGCCTTGAGAAGATTTCCAATATCTCCCTGAGACTTGTAAATGTCCCTTCTTCACTTCTAGCTCCTTCTCCCTCCCCAAACTATGAATCATCCCTGTCCTCAATAGCACTGGTGTCTGTTTCTGTGGCCATGGCCTCTGCTAGTGAGAGTGACTGGATCTCTCCCACCTTCTCTTCTGGTTAGGATGTTGTGGCCTCCACAGGGCTGGCAGGGATCCCACTTCTTAAAGACAACCCATCTGTGACATACTGGCTTCTGTGATACAGAGGATCAGCCCCTTGGAGAACAGCACATGGAGTTCCCACCCTTTTGGAAAAGAAAAATGGTGGAGGATGTCAGGGGGAAGAATGTGGGGCCAGCAGAGCTTTCGAAAAGAAATTTCTTGCTGATTCTCTCAAGCTCTGCCTTGGGGAGGGGGGAGGGTATAAGTCACACAAACCTCCTTCGTGGTGAGTGAACACGCCAAGAGAATGGATGGGGTCCCATGGCCTCAAAGGCTGGAGTTCATGTGGGAAGAGGAAAAAATCAAATCAAGTCTTCTTTGAGAGGATATCACCTTACATTGGCCATCAGGAGAGAATTATGGGCTACAGAGTCTCAGAAAGGAGTTCTGCATTCTGAACCAAAGAGTCTGGGTTCAAATTCTGATTGTGGCTCTCCTCCTCTGTAAAATGAGGGGTGGGCCTGAATTCTTAAATCCCCTTTGTCTGTAAATCTAGAGCCTTAGAACTACCTGGGAGAAGACTGAGGAGCCCAAGGGAGAGGTTTGTGATGGTGCCACGTTTGGGGAAGATTGACCAAACGATCCCATAATGAGGCCTTTTTTCTGCTTGGTGACTCCCTCCCTTTCAGGCTGGGAGGCCTAGCTTCTGTGGACTCATTCTCCTGGCCACCAACTTGCCACCCTCCCCTACCACACCCACTTTCTCTCCTTCCCTTAGGGTTTGCTTAACATTAGAATGTAAGTTCATGGAGGGCAGGGGGTCTTCCTGGCTTCTATTTGTATGGAAGGACTTAGAACAGTATCTGGCCCTAATAAGTGCTTAAATGCTCTCAGAGGGCTTTCTCTGTCTCTCTCTTTCTCCCTTCTCTGTCTCTCTGTCTGTCTGTCTGTCTCTCTCTCTCACTCTCTTTCTCTCTCTTTTCTCTCTCTCTGTCTATCTATCCCCCTTATCTGAATACATGTTTCCTCTCAGTGAATTTAATTTTTGTCTCCATATGCCCATCATTTTTATACACAGCAGGCACTTAATAAATGCTTGTCAAAATTTTGAAAAAGAGAGGTTGAATGAGAGAGAGTCAATTGGGTAGGTGTGAAAATACCCAGGAGGGGATGTGGAGGCCTGGCCTCTGAAGAGAAGAAAGCTCACCCCAGCCAAAGCATTGAGGGGAGAGTCCACATTTTCACTGGGGTCAGGGAGGGAGATGATGATGAATGCAGAAGTGTGCAAGAGATCAGGGAGTCCTACATGTAGGAAGAGGCCTTGGAGATGAGCCTTGAATGGTCCTAGGGATTACCAAAGGCTGAGGAAAGGACAGGCAGCATTCCAGGCCTGGGAAAAACTCACAGATGGAGGTGTCAAAGAGAATCACAAGATTTTTAGACAGAAACAAAGGCACAAAACCCAAGTTGCCCTCCCCTGACCAACCCTCCTCCTCCTTCTCCTCCTCTCCTCCCCCCACCTCCTTCAGTAATCATATCCATACATGAAGCAGCTAGGTATATTATACTTCCAGAATTGTACTAGAGTCAGAATAGCCTGAGTTGGAGTCCCAAAGTTCTCATCCGTACAGTGCGTATAGCACCTACCTCTCAGAGGTGCTGGGAGCTCTAATGAGACAACATAACTATTCTAGACTATACAGACATTAGATACTTTTGTTCTTGTTTCTCTTCAGTAGAATATAAACTTCTCGGACCGTGGGCAGTTTTTCCATTTGTTTGTATTATCACCAGCATGTTGATAGTAGATCGTAAGTGTTTATTGGATTGGACTATTCTGCTGCTATTAGGCCCATTTAGCAAGGAGAGCTCACCTTGGTAGCCCAGGGAGCCCCTGTCCCTGCTTAATTCAAGCTCTTCTCTGGGGCTAACAAGTCATTTCAGTTCTCCCCACTGGGGTTATGGAAAACCAGCTGAATCCCTTCTCTACTTGATAACTCCTCAACTTGAAGACAGGTCTGCACCCCCATTCCCCAGTCCTCTCTTCTCCAGGCTAAACTGATACTCAGTTCCCTCCATCCCTATTTCACATGTTCCTCTGGCAGACTAGAGCCCCTTCAGACTCCTGACTGCCCTTTCCTGAGTGTTCTTTGGCTAATCTATGTTTTTCCTAAAGTTTGTTTCCCAGTACTGAACTCACCATCATCCTCCAGAGGTGGTGTGAGCAGGGCAGAGGACTGATGGACTTTGTGCTCCCTGCTGTGTGAATCTGGGGATTTTCACCAGCATCCCCTCTGTTGCTAATTCTCTTCTACCTCATCTCCATATCCCACCTTCCATGGAAAGCGTTTCCTGTTCCCCCTGAATGCTTTCTTCTGAGATCACCCTGCCATTTATCCATTTGTCCCATGTACAATTTGTTTGTATATAATTGTTTGCATGTTGTCTCCCCCATTAGACTATGCACTCCTTGAGGGCAGGGATTGTCTTTTGCCTTTCTCTGTATCTTCAGTGCTTAGCACCATGTCTCACACATAATAGGTGCTTAACAAATGCTACTTCTTTCCTGATCTTAGCTGAATGAAAATTAGAGAGGGAACAGACCACACTGTGATGCTTTGAGCTTCCAAAGGTCTGAAGAACCAATAGAGGTCCAGAAACTGGGATCCACAGCAATTTACACTGGCAGCTGCAGCACCCAGTCCCAGGAAGGAGTTAGCCCTTAGCAGAGGCTGATCCAGCTTGATCCAGCTCAGTACACAATCAACCCAGCAACAAGGATACCATGTCCTGCAAGAAGGAGATGTGAACCTTCTGGGGAGAATGCTCTGTAACACCTACTTGGACTTTGGACCCACTGTCCCAGGGACCAAAAGGGTCTATAGAGGAGAGACTGTGCCCCGAAGGATTCAAGAGTCAAGGACAATGTAGAGTTGAATTGGCTAAATATTGGTTTGAGATTGTAGAGGTAGGAAACTGAAGTCAGAGCCTCAGCACTGAAGGATTGAGAACTGGAGGTCTCAATGAGGGCAAAGAATTGGCTTAGGAGAGGTAAATCACAGGGAGAAATGAAATGACAGAAGTTGTGATCAGAGGAAGGACACCAGAGTAATTGATTAAGCAAGTAAAATGTTGTGCATTACAGTAAAGTCCAGGGTATGACCTGGTCATGTGGCTTATGTGGAATGAAACAGTAGATCCTAGGATCTTAGAAGACAGGAATCAGGAGATGAGGGGGAAAGATTTCTGTGGGTATTATTGTCCCATAGGTTGAATAAGGACAGGGTCCGGGAAGGAGAGGAAGACCTCGAATAAGCTGGTGACCTCCTTGACACAAGAGAAAGAATGACATGGGAACCGGTTCACAAAAGCCACCACAGCTTGCATGGGGCATCACTCCCCCCACTTTTTCCATGGCTTTTCCCCAGAACTTGTCTGGATGCCAGGTTTACAAGAGATAGCCAGCAGTAATAGTACACAGCATGCCACTCCTCTCAGTAAGGGAACAAGCCTTTCTTTCCAGGTTGGACTCAGGGACAGGGAGCCTCTGAGGTCCTTTGCAATCTCAGATGCCAGGAGTCCAGGGCTTCCTGTCCTTTCTCTAATTGCTTATTCTGCTGCCATTAGGCCCATTTAGCAAGGAGCCCCTGTCCCTACTCAATTCAAGCTTCTCTCTGGGGCCAATAAGCCAAAGGGAACATACTAGCTATGCCTGGGGCTAGATCACAATGAAACTGGGCAAAGAACCATCCTGCCTTTTCTTCAGGATGATTGCAAACCACAGGCAATTAAGAGCACAGCCTGCCTTTGCCAAGAGCTTCCACAACCCTGGGATGGAGGGATAAGAACACAGACCATAGGAATGCTCAATGCATGGCTGTTCACTGACTCCATTGGTCCAAGGTATATGCTTTTTTTAGGGTTCCATTACCCATCAATCATAGCTCTCTTCACCACAGAGTTAGCCCCATCTCTTCCTTCAGGATTCTCTTAGCTGGCTGTGATTCTTCCCCAAGCATTCAGATTTTCCACCATGTGTCTACATTGCCAAACACATGTGGCATGGAGAAGCTGCCAACTAGAGGCTGGTGACTCAGAATCTTGTGCTATTTCCCCCTATTTCTGTCCTTTGACGAACTCAACAGATTAATGAAGTCTTGGATACAGAGTACTATTGGAGGCAGGTGTAAACACAGTAAGTGTTCAGGAGTGTATTAAGTACTGCTCTGTAGCATTCTAAACACCAAAGCTTTTTGTCCCAAAAAGGAAATTAGAAATCCAGCAAAAGTAGGATTTGATTGGTCTTGGCTTAGCTGTTCAAGGTGGGAAAAGAAAAAAAGAAAAGAAGAAAAGAGGAAGGAAAGAAAGAAAGAAAGAAAGAAAGAAAGGGAAAGAAGGAAGGAAAGAAGGAAGGAAGAGAGAAAGAAAGAGAGAGAGAAAGGAAGTGAAGAAGGGAGGGAGGTAGAGAGAAAAGAAGGAAGCAAGAGAGAAAGAGAAAGAAAGAAAGAAAGAAAGAAAGAAAGAAAGAAAGAAAGAAAGAAAGAAAGAAAGAGAGAGAAAATGAAAGAAAGAAAGAAAGAAAGAAAGAAGAAAGAAAGAAAGAAAGAAAGAAAGAAAGAAAGAAAGAAAGAAAGAAAGAAAGAAAGAAGAAAGAAGGAAGGAAGGAAGGAAGGAAGAAAGGAAGGAAGAAAGAAAGGAAGGAAGGAAGGAAGGAAGGAAGGAAGGAAGGAAGGAAGGAAGGAAAGAAGGAAGGAAATTAATTCTTATGAGGAAATATTTAGGGGATTTTCTTGTAGAAAAGAAGACTTCAGGGTCATTCATGAGTGTCTCACAGTACATCATCTATTATCAGGATGCCCCTTTATCCCCATAGAGTCAGGGACTGGAGGAAGCCAGCTACACCTTCAGCAACGGCAACAAGGACCTGTAGAAGGAAGAGACATGAAAGATGTTCTCAATAGAAGGAGGGTGTGGCATCCCAGAAAGATACTCTCTAAACAAAAGGAGGAAGGCTAGGTCTCCTGGAGGATCTTATAGAAAGCACATTCTTCTATCTTTGTGAGCTCTGTCAAGGGCCCTCTCAGACATTCCTAGGAGCATGGAGCTTTCCTGGCTCCTTTCTTGCCCTCCTCACAGAACTGTGATGTGAATCAAATAAGAGAATGGAGGGGAAATAATTTTATAAAGAGAAATTGCCTTGTGAATTGTAAAATGGTTTGAAACTGTACAGCTTGTATTGATGGGGGTGGGGCCCAAGCCAAGATCATAGCCCTTTGTATCAAAGGGAATCTGACTCACAGGCCCCAGACCCTCATCTCTCTTTGAAAGCCTTAGCCTTATTTTTTAATCTTATTCAGATGTGTCCTAAAAGAATCTGTCTCCCTTTTGTCTATAGGCCCCAGAAAGGCCTTCCTTTATCTCCTTTTGAAAGTCCTAGCCCCACCGTGATTTTGTGCAGATACCTTTCAAACTTCTGCCTTCCTGTTCCCTCCATTATCTATTCCCATTGTCTATTCAATCTCTCAGACCTCCCCAATTAGAATTGTTACCTAGACCCTTTTCCCAACCCCCTTCTCTGGCCACCCAAAGTTACTTTGGTATTTAAGATACACCTTGGCCCTCATTCAGGGGCTGAGAATCTCATGCCCACAAGGCTGAGAACCTCTCATGCCTGCTCGTCCTTACGGGCGTCACCCAGCCTATATGTTTTATTGCTAATAAACTTTTCCTCTGGCTGAAGAAGATTTGAGTTGAATTCTTTCAGACAGGGCCCGGTACCACGATCTTGGGGTCCCAGCACCCCAAAACCCTTAGACCTCTTCAGTATGGAGGAAAGGCATGCTTTCACCTGATGCCTTTCAGCTTATCTCTGTATAGGTTGAATCATTTTTCTCCCCTCATCCCCCCAAGTAGAATTCAAGCTCCCAGAGGGCAGGCACACAGCTTTTAAAATGGAGGGGAAGATGGAAGGGTGGTTGGCAAAGCTTGAACCTTATTCTCATCAAAATTGGCTCAAAGAGGGAATAACATATACACTCAATTGAATATAGAAATCTATCTTACTATATAAGGAAATAAAAAGGAGCAGGGATTATAGAAGGACGAGGGAGACTTATAAAAGAGAGAGTATATTAGGGAAGCTGGTGATCAGAAGTAAAACATTTGTGAGGAGGGAAAGGGTGGGGGGGTAAGAGAGAGGAGGAGATAAACAAGAGAAAAATAGCAGGGAGGGAAATGCACAGTTAATTATCATAACTATAAATGTGAATGGGATGAACTCATCCATAAAATGGAAGTGAATAGCAGAATGGATTAAAAACCAGAATCCTACAATATGTTGTTTACAAGAAACATTTGAAGCAGACAAATACACACAGGATAAAGATAAGGTACTGGAGCAGAATCTGTTATGCTTCAGTTGAAACAAAGAAGGTAGGAGTAGCTGTCAGGATCTCAGACAAAGCAAAAGAAAAAATCGATTTAATTAAAAGAGACAGAGAAGGAAACTATATCTTGTGAAAGGTACCATAGACAATGAAGTCATAGCAATACTAAACATATATGCACCAAATGGTATAGCATCTAAATGTTTGAAGAAGTGGAATGAGTTACGGGAGGAAATAGATAATAAAAATATATCAGTAGAGGACCTCAACTTTCCCCTCACACAACTAGATAAAGCTACCCAAGAAAAAAGTTAAAAGAGGTGAATAAAAGTCTGAAAAAGTTAGATATGATACATCTCTGGAGAAAATTGAATGGGAATAGAAATTAACATGATTTTTTCTGAATAGTACATGGCACCTACACAAAAACTGACCATGTATGAGGACTTAAAATCTTATAACCAAAGGCAGAAAAGCAGAAATAGTAAACACATCCTTTTTAGATAATAATGCAATAAAAATTACATTCAGTAAGGGACAATGGAAAGAGCGATTAAAAATTAATTGGAAATTAAACAATCTAATCCTAAAAAAAACAAGTGGGTCAAAGAATAGAAACAGTTGATAATTTCATTAAAGAAAATTACAATAATGAAACAATATACCAAAATTTATGAGATGCAGCCAAAGTGGTACTTAGGAGAAAGTTTATATCTGTGATAATTTAAATCAATAAAATAGAGAAAAAGCAGATCAATGAATTGGGCATGCAACAACAACAACAACAACAACAACAACAAAAAGCTAGATAAAGGACAAATTAAAAATCTCCAATTAAACACCAAATTGAAATCTTGAAAATCGAAGCAGAGATTAATAAAATTGAAAGTAAGAAAAACATTGAACTAACAAATTAAATTAGACACTAATTTTATTATTTTTTTGAGTTTAAAATTTTTCTCCCCCTTCATCCCCACCACCTTCCCCAAGACGGTGCACAATCTGATATAGGCTATACATTTACATTCCTATTAGGCATATTTTCATATTAATGCTGTTGTAAGTAAAAATTAAAACCAATACGAGGAACCATCAGAAAGAGGAAACAAACCTCAACAGAAGAGAAAAAAAATAGCAATTCAACTTTCATAGTTCTTTCTTTGGATGTGGATAGCATTTTCCATCATGAGGCCTCTGGAGATGTCTTAGATCCTTATATTGCTGAGAAGGGTTAAGTTTATCAATATTAGTCATCGCACAATGTGGCTGTTATTGTATACAATGTTCTCTTGGTTCTGTTCATTTCACTCAACCTCAGACCATACAAGTCTTTCCAGGTTTTTCTGAAGTCAGCCTTTTCATCAATGCTTATAGCACAATAGTATTCCATTACATTCATATACTACAACGTGCTCAGCCATTCCCCAATTGATGGGCATCCTCTCAATTTCCAATTCTTTGCCACCACAAAAAGAGCTGCTATGAATATTTTGATACATGTGGGTCCTTTTCCCATTTGTATGATCTCTTGGGGATATACCTCTAAAAGTGCTATTGCTGGATCAAAAGGTATGCACATTTTTATAGCCCTTTGGGCATAGTTCCAAATTGTTCTCCAAAATGGTTGGATCATTTCACAACTCCACCAACAATGTATTAGTGTTCTAATTTTCCCACATCTTCTCCAACATTTATCATTTTCCTATTTTGTCATGTTGGCCAATCTGGTAGGTGTGATGTGGTGCCTCAGAGTTGTTTTGATTTGCATTTCTCTAATCAATAATGATTTAGAGCATTTTTTCATATGACTATAGATGGCTTTAATTTCTTCATCTGAGAACTGCCTGTTCATATCCTTTGACCATTTATCAATTGGGGAATGGCTTGTGTTCTTATAAATTTGTCTTAATTCTCTATGTATTTTAGAAATGAGGCCTTTATCAGAGAGACTGGTTGTAAAAATTCTTTCCCAATTTTCTACGTTCCTTCTAATCTTAGTTGCAATGGCTTTGTTTGTGTAAAAATTTTTCAATTTAATGTAATCAAAATTATCCATTTTGCTTTTCATAATGTTCTCTAACTGTTGTTTGGTCCTGAATTCTTCTGTTCTCCATAGATCCAACAGGTAAACTATTTCTTGCTCTCCCAGTTTGCTTATAGTATCAGCCTTTATATCTAAATCATGAACCCATTTTGACTTTATTTTGGTATATGGTGTGAGATTTTGGTCTATGCCTAGTTTATACCACACTCTTTTACAATTTTCCCAGCAGCTTTTTTTTTCAAAAAGTGGGTTTTTATCCCAGAAGCTGGGGTCTTTGGGTTTATCAAATAATAGATTACTATAGTCATTGAGTACTGTGTCTTGCACATTTAACCTATTCCACTGATCCAGCACTCTATTTCTTAGCCAGTACCAAGCAGCTTTGATGATTGCTGCTTTATAATACTATTTAAGATCTGGAATTGCTAGCCCACCATCCCCTGCATTTCTTTTCATTAGTTCCTTTGATATTTTGGACCTTTTGTTTTTCCAAATGAATCTTGTTATTATTTTTTCCAACTCTATAAAATAATTTTTTGGTAGTTTCATTGGTATGGCACTGAATAAGTAAATTAACTTAGTTAGAATTGTCATTTTTATTATATTAGTTTGGTCTACCTATGAGCAACTGATAAGGAGCCCATATCTTGACAGGGTAATTTCTCTTGCTATCTCTTGCTGTTGGGCTTTGTTGGTAATATGTAGAAATGCTGATGATTTATGTGGGTTTATTTTATAGCCTGCAACTTTGCTAAAGTTGTTTATTATTTCAAGTAGTTTTTTACTTGATTCTCTAAGTATATCACCATGTCATCTGCAAGGAATGATAACTTTGTTTCTTCTTTGCCTATTCTAATGCCTTCAATTTCTTTTTCTTCTCTTATTTCTAAAGCTAACATTTCCCATACAATATTGAATAACAATGGTGATAATGGATATCCTTGTTTCGCTCCCAGTCTTATTGGAAATGCTTCTAGCTGGTCCCCATTACATATTATGTTTGCTGAAGGTTTTAGATAGATACTATTTATTATTTTAAGGAAGACTCCATTTATACCTATGCTTTCTAGTGTTTTTAATAGGAATGGGTGTTGTATTTTGTCAAAACCTTTTTCTGCATCTATTGAGATGATCATGTGGTTTCTGGTGGTTTTGGTGTTGATATGCTCAATGATGCTGATACTTTTGCTAATATTGAAGCCGCTCTGCATTCCTGGTATAAATCCTACCTGGTCATAGTGTATTATTCTTGTGATAAGTTGCTGTAATCTATTTGCTAGTATTTTGTTTAAAATTTTTGCATCTATATTCATTAGAGAAATTGGTCTATAATTTTCTTTCTCTATTTTGACTCTTCCTGGTTTAGGTATCAGCACCATATTTGTATCATAAAAAGAATTTGGTAAGACTCCTTCTTCACCTATTTTCCCAAAAAGTCTGTATAGTATTGGAATTAATTGTTCTTCAAATGTTTGATAGAATTCACATGTAAAT